TAGATCCAAACCCAGGAACACAAAATCCACAAGCATCGTAAACAAAAGCCAGCACCGCCTTGCTCCGCTTTCGTGTGACAGAGAGACCCAAAAGTTGAAAAGAAAAACAGAACCGTAGAAAGCACTGAGGGAACACTGAGCCCACTCTGCTGTTAGAACGGCTCTGATGGGTTCGTTTTGTTGTAAAAGTGATGTGTGCACGGCTTCGGGAATCCAAATGTTGTCAACGGTGATGTTCGGGGAAAGCTGCTCCCAACCACCCACAGATAACAAGGCCACGGTTGCTGAGCCTCCTCCCGGGAGTTCCCTCCACGCACACACCCGGGCTGTGCGCCTGTGTGTGAGACACACCTGCATGTGCGAGTTCTTTGCCTAAAGGAAGTACAGTATCTGTCATAGTTTGCTTTGGGCTGTTTTCATTAAACTAGGTTTTAAAATGTTTTTCTGTATCCCCATACGTAGACCGATTCTCACCTTTTTAACTGCTGCCTAGCACTCCACTGTACTCCTGCGCCATCATTCACATACCCCGTGGATGTGGCTCTCAGTGGTTTCCATTGCGTGAGTGGCCTTTCTAAACACCTGCTCTTTCTGGCGACTTCCAGCGTTGCTTCTCATGTCTTCTGAAAAGGAGTTCTCTCTCTCCCTACAGCACATGATGCCGTAGTTTATTCTAGGATGCATTTTTGTATTCAATCTTTCTAAAACTGGTGCATCTTATAATGTATGGTGTCCATAGTTTAAATGATGGAGTTTTTATTTTTCTTTCTCCAAGACGTTCTTATGAAGTAAGGTGTGGCCAGGTGCAGCGGCTTATGCCTGTAATCCCAGGACTTTGGGAGGCTGAGGTGGGAGGATTGCTTGAGCTCAGGAGTTTAAGACCAGCCTGGGCAACATGGCAAAACCCGGTCTCTACAAAAACAAAACCAAAATTAGCTGGGTGTGGTGTTGGCGCCTGTAGTTCCAGCTCCTCGGGAGACTGAGGTAGAAGGATTGCCAGAGCCTGAGAGGTTGAGGTTTCAGTGAGCTGAGATCACATCACTGTACTCCAGACTGGGTGACACAGTGAGACCCTGAAAAAAGGAGAAAGAATAAAGGGAGGGAGAGAGGGAGTGGAGGAGAAGGAAGGAAGGAGAGAAGGAAGCAGGGAAGGAAGGAGTGAAGGAAGGAAGGAAGGAGGGGAGGAGGGAGGGAGGGAGGGAGGGAGGGAGGGAGGGAGGGAGGGAGGGAGGGAGGGAGGTACCCAAACTGATGTTCAGTCCAAACATCTGGGCTTTAAAAACTCCATCATTAAAATTCATTCCAAGAGTTGCTTTAGGGTGGAAATGACTTTCCAGTCTGAGTGCAGGCACTGCAGCTCCCCTGGTTAAAGTCCTGGGGTATAGACGCATTTCCAGTTAACACACAGAAATGTTATCAGTTCACTCAGTCTGTTGCGGGAAAAGTATTAACACAAGGTCTTAAAGAACAGTCTGAGTCCTCTCGTGATTCCTGTGCCACGCCCTGAGCAGCGGCGGCTGGTCAGCAAATGAGGGCTTACACAGACAAAGGCAGGGACAGCGTGTGATCTGGGCACTCTGTCCAGCACCACACATGGTGGACGTTCTGTCTGATGGCTACATTGGCGGCCCCCAGGGTCTGAACCAGTCTGTGGCCCTGTGAGCAGCATCTTTCTGCCTTCTCCACCCTCCCTGCCCGACGAGGGCGATCGCCCAGGACTTCCTACTCCGGCTCTGCCTCGGGCAGGACAGGCTGGACGACCTGGGGCCCTGGTGGTGCCAGTGGGGACCATGACCAGCCGGCAAATCCAGGGGGCAGCTCTGTCTTGTCCATACACCAAGAAACCGGGGAGCACGGAGTCCCAGAGGCCCTGACAGTGGGCATTGGTGCATCCCAGGGTTCCACAAAGCATCGCCTCACCTTGGACACGTCTGCACTGTCAGAGTCCTTGAATGTCACATCGAGGCTTTGCTTTCTCCCTCTCCTATCTTAACGGTTCATTTTTAAGTTTGTTTCAAAACAAAACTAGCCCTGGCAATTTGCATGCCCCTTCGCCCAGAGCCAGCAGCTGTTAATATTGGTCCCACGGACTGATTATACTCTCCTCTCTCTCACGGCACACATGCACATGCACACATATGTGCACACACACACACACATGCACACACACACACACACACACACACACACAGAGGCAGTGACCATGGCAATGATTCTCAGAAGCTGCTGGGTAGGGACTGGCCAGATCAGCTCTGCTGCGGTCTAGGGCCACTCTAGCCACCCTGCAGGACACCGGCCGGGCCCCTGGCCTTCCAGGATTTTTAGAAAGTACTCATCCCTTGGTGTTAGATTTTCTTTTTCATAAATCTAACATTAGGTTCTTTCGTAACCGCTTCTCAGCCTTTGGGCTAAGATCAAGTACAGATTTATTTGTAAAATGTTAGGAGCCTCAGCTTAAAGGGACTTGTGTTATTTAAAACCAATCTTTAAAAAAAAAAAAAAAACTACTAAGGAGGCAAGCCTGCTTCTCCTTTTTTTTTTTTTTTTTTTTTTTTGTGACGGAGTCTCCCTCTGTCGCCCAGGCTGAAGTGCAGTGGTGTGACCTCGGCTCACTGCAACTTCTGCTTCCTGGGAAGTGATTCTCCTGCCTCAGCCTCCTGGGTGGCTGGGATTACAGGTGTGCACCACTGCGCCCAGCTAATTTTTGTACTTTTCTTCAAGATGGGGTTTCACCATGTGGGCCAGGCTGGTCTTGAACTCCTGACTTCATGATCCGCCTGCCTTGGCCTTCCACAGGTCTGGGATTATAGGCATGAGCCACCGCGCCTGGTCTTTCTCTTAACACTAATTTGGGGGACCCTCCCTGGTGGCCTGGAGTCGGCAGTTGAGCCCACGCCCTGCTGGCCTCTGGGCAGAACATCGTCAGCCCAGCAGTCGGGCCATGGAGGCCGCTTCTTCAAGGCCTTTGGTTAAACCCTCTCCAGGTCCACACTGTGCTTGGGACCACATCTCAGGCAGGCGTCTCTCACCCTGCCCAGCCAGGACGCTGGCAGCTCTGCGTCTCCAGAAGGGCATCTCATCCCTCCGCTGACCAGTGAGAACCCCAGGAGCCCAAAGGCGCAGCTGTGGAAGGGGCTCTGCAGCTGCGGCTGGCAAACAGCCCCTCCCTTCTCCTTGCCTGCCCCAGGGGTTGCCCGGGGCTGGCTACCTAGGGAGGTGTTGCCCACCTGGTCTTCATGGCTTCAGGGGAAAACGGGCACAGAACAAGCAGCCATAAAAACAGAAGATGCTGGCCTCTCTGCGCACGCAGGGAGATGTGCAGAGACCCTGGGGAGAGGAGCATTGGAACCACAGTGACATGAGCAATTCCACAGGCACAGATGGAGCCACAGGCAGGATGTGTGCCCCCAGGCAGGCCGTGGTGCCCTGAGAGCACAGCAGGGAGGCCGGGCAGAGACCCAGCGGGAGGGAGGCCAGGGTGCAGCCACGGAGGGGAGGGAGGGCAGGCAGCTCCAGGCTCATCCCCACAGGGGCAGGAAATGGCAGTGCAGGCCTCTGGTGTTCATGGAGGCCCAGGACACGTTTCCTAAGCACTGTTGGCCAAGGGCATCCAAGTCCCCGTCAGACACCTGGGGGCCGGCGTGATATTCGTGTTGCGGCTGAGGCTGGTCTGTGTTCTGAGCAGGCCCCTGGCATGGCCAGACAGTCGCAGGCCCAGCTGCCAAGAAAATCCCGCCCTGCCCTTCTCCTGAAGGAGGAAACTTCGGCTGAGGGTGTCCCCTGCCCGAGGGGTCTCCCATCAGGGCCAGGCTGACTGACAGACGAGCCCAGCATGGCCACTGACTGGGCAGAAGAGTGACCGCCAGGCCTTGCTGGCTGGAATGTCCCCAGCAAAGAATGTGCCTTGGCGCTGCTGTCCATGCCATGGTGGGCCTCCATGCCACGGCGGGCTCGGCTGTGTCTCCTGCACTGTGGTGGCCTCTGGTCTCCGTTGTATTTTCAAGCAACCTCTGTGGCTGGCCAGAGCCATCGACAACTAAATCAGGAAAGCCGGGCACCTGCTGTTTATATTGGCCCCTGGGAGGAAGACATTCCATTCTCTGTGGGCTCTGCAGCTCATCCAAGTGCCAAGGGGACACTGAGGGAGGCCTACTCTCGCCCCACATTGCTGGGCATGCAGTGGTCATACCAGACGGCTGGACTCCAAGCTCCACTCTGACCAGGGGCCTTTGCGGGAGGCTTTGAGGAGTGGGGCTGATAGCCCGAGGGGCAGCATGGGCTCAGGCACATGGGGACGTGTTCACTCAGCAACCAGGCAGCAGCAGGGGTGGCAGTGGGGCAGAGGGAGGGGGACCTTTGCCTGACTGTGGGACTGGCAACGAGGGAAGCCCCAGTCACAGTGTGCCTCAGCTGATGCTCAGAGTCCTCTGGGCAAGTTGGCCAAAAGTCCTGGGGCCTCTCTGAGTCCGTGACTTAGGGGTGTTCTTGGCATCCATGCTGTTCCCCATTGTGGGAACACAGAGGTCTGTGTGGGTCGTTGTGGATGTCTCGGAGCTGGGCCTCTGGGAAAGGCTCCCTGAGGAGGGAGTGTCTGAGCTGGGTTGTGAAGGATGAATAGGAGCTTGTCAGGGAGGCAGCAAGGCTGTTCCAGGCTGAAGGCCAAAGTGAGGTTGAACATGGAGAGGGCAGGCAGAGTGCAGGCTGGAATCGGCAGGAAAGAGAGGAGGGAAAGGGGGTTGTGCAGTGGGTGAACCGAGTCTCCGAGGGTGCTGCTGGTGTGGGTGAACCGAGTCTCCAAAGGTGCTGCTGGGTGGGTGAACCGAGTCTCTGAGGGGCTGTGCTGGGGGTGGGTGAACCGAGTCTCCGAGGGTGCTGCTGGTGTGGGTGAACCGAGTCTCCAAAGGTGCTGCTGGGTGGGTGAACCGAGTCTCTGAGGGGCTGTGCTGGGGGTGGGTGAACCGAGTCTCCGAGGGGCTGTGCCGGGAGTGGGTGAACCGAGTCTCTGTGGGCGCTGCTGGGGGTGGGTAGGCTCCACGGGTGCTGCTGATGGTGGATGAACTGAGCCTCCCTGTGCTGGGGGTGGGTGAACTGAGTCTCTGTCGGTTGCTCCTGGGAGTGGGTGAACTAAGCATCCATAGGGTGCTGCTGGGGTGAGTGAACCGAGTCACTATGGGCACTGCTGAGGGTGGGTGAACCAAGTTTCCAAGGGTGCTGCTGGGGTTGGGGGAACCGAGCATCTGAGGGTGCTGTTCGCCGCCCACGGGTCTGTTGTCGGCCCACCCTGCTGTGCCCAGTGCTGCTGTGGCCTCGGGAAAGTGGAGATCAAAACCAACACGTGTCTTGCCCACAGAGGGGCCATGCTCTCGTGGGGAGCTGGGCAAAAAACAGAGGTGACTGGTTGAAAAGTGCTCTTGGATCTTAGAAAAAGATGAGTGCTGTGACACCTGTTGTCACCGGTGAGAGACACCTGGACATGCCAGCAGCAGCCGTGGGCGGTGGGTGCCCAGAATGCCCTGACCAGTGAAGTCCAGAGGGCAGAACACGCTGAGGCGGGGACAGCTTGTGCAGACCCCAGAGGAAGGAACCGCCTGCAGGTTCAAGGAACCCAGAGACCACAGCACCTCTGGGGCTACTACCAAGGGTGGGATGAGAGGGTGAGCGCAATAGTGGATGGTGGGTACAGGCCCTTGTGACAGGGAGGGGCAGCCCAGCTAGACGGCAGGAGAGGCCAGACCAAGGGAGGACCTCGGTTAACGATGACTGTGGAACACAAAGGCTCCGTGAAGGGGCTGTGGAATCCTCCCTCACTCCCGCCGAGGGCGTCGTCCTGAGTTGCTGACACCTCCAACAGCCGCAGCAAAGTGGGGCTCACCCCAAAGAGGACTTTCTAGGTCTGGCTGAACTCCCTAATCCTCAGCAATAAACCCAGAAGAGCATCCTGATCTCTGAGAGTGAAAACGTTTCTCAGATGATCATGCTGCGGGTAAAAGCCTGCTGTGATGGCTGAGGAGCTGGATGGGGCAGCCAAGCACGTCCTCCAAGGTCACCTCTGTGTGCCGTTCACTCTGTGGGATGCTGGCCAGGTCTTGATGACACCCTGACCTCACAAGTGGTTATAGACTTAGAGCTAAAGTGCATTCCCAGCCACCGTGACTCACAAGGAGGACATGCAACCTACGAGGGTCCCACCGACATAGCCGCACCAGCCGGAACAGGGTCTCAGCCTGGACACGGGGCTACCAGTGGGGGTGGTGGTCCTGTCACCCAGTTGCCCACCTGAGGTCAGGGAAGTGGGAATTTAGAAGTCAGCGTGGAGCTCCATTTACTCCCCTCTTCCAAACTCGCTTCCTATCAAGGCAGGAGGATGAGCTAGTTTAATTCCAGCTGTTTTTCATCTTTCTATTTGGACAGTGGGACTCAGGAGCCATCAGCCAGGGATGTGGGAAGTGGCAGGTTGACGTCACATGTGGCTGAACCTGTGGTCTCTGTATTCAGATGATCGCAATGTCCCCACCACAAGCGGTCAGTGTGGCTGGTTCAGTCATCTGAATGATTCACCTGCAGAGTCATTCAGATGACTGAAATGCCCAGTGAGTGGGGACAAAAACCTGTGACAGGCTCTGTTGACAACAGCCTGAGATCACCCTCCTCGGGTTAAGGAGCACAGCCCTCCTTAGGCAGCCGAATCACAGCAAAGGGGACGTACCCGGAGACGCCTGATGGAAGACAGGTAGGGCCCTGGACCCTGTGATGGCCAGCGGGTGCAGGTGCAGTCTTTAATGGGAGCACGATGCCCCAGGCTGGTCCCCAACCCTGAGGTCGACTGCTCCTCTGCCCTCCCCATCCCCACAGCGCGGTGGACGGTACACCCGTCCATTCTGGGTTCAGGGGGTGTGGGCAGCCACTGGCCAGGGCAGTTCTGGGGCCACCGCGATCGCTTTACCAGCCACGGGGACACAGCAGCTCCTTCCTGGGCGGGCTCGGATGACTCAGAACAAGGGTGTCCCTGGCCAGGACGCACAGCTGCTCCTTGGATCAGTTTATTTTTACAGTTGTCCCCGCCCACTGCATGCGGTGCCCTTGCCCAGGTTCAGAGTTTTTTCCCTGTCTCCTCCTCGGTGGGTTTGGAAGGAGCATCTGCCTCAGTGGTTCTTGAGCATCGGAGTCACCAGGAACTCCTTAGAATGCAGATCCCAGGCCCTGCCCCAGACTGTGGATGGGAGGTGTTGGCAGAGCAGCCCCGAAATCTGGGTCTCAGCAAGGCCTCTTGAAGCACCAATGCCCGCCAGGGTTTGTGGACAAACAGCACACACTCTCTGGAACTCACTGAACTGGGGAGGAAGGCATCTCAGGGAGGCTGAGGAATCGGGACCCTGTGTTCCATCTGTGGCCCTGCCACTCCTTCGTGTGGGGTCTGCCCTGGGGTCATTGCGTGCCCAGGGCAACGCGGCCACGTGGTCAGCCACCGTCACCTCCCCCATCACAGCTGCTCGGCAACAGATTTTCACAAGGAAATCTGTCCATGGCTTCAAAAACAGAGCTCTCTCTTTTGGAAAATATGCAGAGAAACACAAAAAGAGAAGTATGTTCCCACATTTCCTTCCAGTCTGTTTTCAGCCTATTCAGCTTCTTGAAAACAATTGGATCAGAGTGAGCTTTTCATTTGGTGCCGCATCACCAGCCGCGTCCAGCCGCCGACTCTCCTCCCACAAATGAGGACGTGCCCTTGTGCAGCCGCCCTGTTCTTCGACATCGAGGGTGCTCTTGGTTTCTCTTTTTTTTTTTTTCCACAGTTGAGTTCTTTTTTTTTTTTAATTTTTTATTGGATTTTAGGTTTTGGGGTACATGAGCAGAGCATGCAAGACAGTTGCGTAGGAACACACATGGCAGTATGCTTTTCTTTCCTTCTCCCTTTCACCCACGTTTGGCATTTCTCCCCAGGGTATCCCTCCCCCTCCCACTGGCCCTCCCCTTTTCCCCCCAATAGACCCCAGTGTTTAGTACTCCCCTTTCTGTGTCCATGTGTTCTCATTTTTCATCACCCGCCTATGAGTGAGAATATGCGGTGTTTCATTTTCTGTTCTTGTGTCAGTTTGCTGAGGATGACGTTCTCCAGATTCACCCATGTCCCTACAAACGACACAAACTCATCATTTCTGATTGCTGCATAATATTCCATGGTGTATATGTGCCACATTTTTCCAATCCAGTCTATTATCAATGGGCATTTTGGTTGATTCCAGGTCTTTGCTATTGTAAACAGTGCTGCAATGAACATTCGCGTACATGTGTCCGTATAGTAGAACGATTTATAGTCTTTTGGATATATACCCAGTAATGGGATTGCTGGGTCAAATGGAATTTCTATTTCTAAGGCCTTGAGGAATCGCCACACTGTCTTCCACAATGGTTGAACTAATTTACACTCCCACCAACAGTGTAAAAGTGTTCCTTTTTCTCCACATCCTCTCCAGCATCTGTTGTCTCCAGATTTTTTAATGATCGCCATTCTAACTGGCGTGAGATGGTATCTCAATGTGGTTTTGATTTGCATCTCTCTGATGACCAGTGACGATGAGCATTTTTTCATATGATTTTTGGCCTCATATATGTCTTCTTTCGTAAAGTGTCTGTTCATATCCTTTGCCCACTTTTGAATGGACTTGTTTGTTTTTTTCCTGTAAATCCGTTTGAGTTCTTTGTAAATTCTGGATATCAGCCGTTTGTCAGATGGGTAATCTGCAAAAATTTTTTCCCATTCTGTTGGTTGCCGATCCACTCTAGTGACTGTTTCTTTTGCCGTGCAGAAGCTGTGGAGTTTCATTAGGTCCCATTTGTCTATTTTGGCTTTTGTTGCCAATGCTTTTGGTGTTTTGTTCATGAAGTCCTTGCCTACTCCTATGTCCTGGATAGTTTTGCCTAGATTTCCTTCTAGGGTTTTTATGGTGCCAGGTCTTATGTTTAAGTCTTCAATCCATCTGGAGTTAATTTTAGTGTAAGGTGTCAGGAAGGGGTCCAGTTACTGCTTTCTGCACACGGCTAGCCAGTTTTCCCAACACCATTTGTTAAACAGGGAATCCTTTCCCCCTTGCTTGTTTTTGTCAGGTTTATCAAAGATTGTATAGTTGTAGATATGTTGTGTTGCCTCCGGTGCCTCTGTTTTGTTCCATTGGTCTATATCTCTGTTTTGGTACCAGTACCATGCTGTTTTGATTACTGTAGCCTTGTAGTATAGTTTGAAATCTGGTAGTGTGATGCCCCCCGCTGTGTTCTTTTTGCTTAGAATTGACTTGGCTATGCGGCTCTCTTTTGGTTCCATATGAAGTTCATGGTGGTTTTTTCCAGTTCTGTGAAGAAAGTCAATGGTAGCTTGATGGGGATAGTGTTGATTCTGTAAATTACTTTGGGCAGTATAGCCATTTTCACGATGTTAATTCTTCCTAACCATGAACATGGAATGTTTCTCCATCTGTTTGTGTCCTCTCTGATTTCATTGAGCAGTGGTTTGTAGTTCTCCTTGAAGAGGTCCCTTACGTTCCTTGTGAGTTGTATTCCAAGGTATTTTATTCTTTTTGTAGCAATTGCGAATGGCAGTTCGTTCTTGATTTGGCTTTCTTTAAGTCTGTTATTGGTGTAGACGAATGCTTGTGATTTTTGCACATTGATTTTATATCCTGAGACTTTGCTGAAGTTGCTTATCAGTTTCAGGAGTTTTTGGGCTGAGGCGATGGGGTCTTCTAGGTATACTATCATGTCGTCTGCAAATAGAGACAATTTGGCTTCCACCTTTCCTATTTGAATACCCTTTATTTCTTTTTCTTGCCTGATTGCTCTGGCTAGAACTTCCAGAACTATATTGAATAGGAGTGGTGAAAGAGGGCATCCTTGTCTAGTGCCAGATTTCAAAGGGAATGCTTCCAGTTTTTGCCCATTCAGTATGATATTGGCTGTTGGTTTGTCGTAAATAGCTTTTATTACTTTGAGATACGTTCCATCGATACCGAGTTTATTGAGGGTTTTTAGCATAAAGGGCTGTTGAATTTTGTCAAATGCCTTCTCTGCATCAATTGAGATAATCATGTGGTTTTTGTTTTTGGTTCTGTTTATGTGGTGAATTACGTTTATAGACTTGCGTATGTTGAACCAGCCTTGCATCCCCGGGATGAATCCTACTTGATCATGGTGAATACGTTTTTTGATTTGCTGTTGCATTTGGCTTGCCAATATTTTATTGAAGATTTTTGCATCTATGTTCATCATGGATATTGGCCTGAAGTTTTCTTTTCTTGTTGGGTCTCTGCTGGGTTTTGGTATCAGAATGATGTTGGTCTCGTAAAATGATTTGGGAAGTATTCCCTCTTTTTGGATTGTTTGAAATAGTTTTAGAAGGAATGGTACCAGCTCCTCTTTGTGTGTCTGGTAGAATTCGGCTGTGAACCCGTCTGGACCTGGGCTTTTTTTTGTGTGGTAGGCTCTTAATTGCTGCCTCGACTTCTGACCTTGTTATTGGTCTATTCGTAGTTTCAGCTTCCTCCTGATTTAGGCTTGGGAGGACACAGGAGTCCAGGAATTTATCCATTTCTTCCAGGTTTACTAGTTTATGTGCATAGAGTTGTTTGTAATATTCTCTGATGATGGTTTGAATTTCTGTGGAATCTGTGGTGATTTCCCCGTTATCATTTTTTATTGCATCTATTTGGTTGTTCTCTCTTTTCTTTTTAATCAATCTGGCTAGTGGTCTGTCTATTTTGTTGATCTTTTCAAAAAACCAGCTCTTGGATTTATTGATTTTTTGAAGGGTTCTTCGTGTCTCAATCTCCTTCAGTTCAGCTCTGATCTTAGTTATTTCTTGTCTTCTGCTGGGTTTTGAGTTTTTTTGATCTTGCTCCTCTAGCTCTTTCAATTTTGACGATAGGGTGTCAATTTTGGATCTCTCCATTCTGCTCATATGGGCACTTATTGCTATATACTTTCCTCTAGAGACTGCTTTAAATGTGTCCCAGAGGTTCTGGCACGTTGTGTCTTCGTTCTCATTGGTTTCGAAGAACTTCTTTATTTATGCCTTCATTTCGTTGTTTACCCAGTCAACATTCAAGAGCCAGTTGTTCAGTTTCTGTGAAGCTGTGCGGTTCTGGGTTGGTTTCTGTATTCCGAGTTCTAACTTGATTGCACTATGGTCTGAGAGGCTGTTTGTTATGATTTCAGTTGTTTTGCATTTGTTGAGCAGTGCTTTACTTCCAATTATGTGGTCAATTTTTGAGTAGGTGTGATGTGGTGCTGAGAAGAATGTATATTCTGTGGATTTGGGGTGGAGAGTTCTGTAAATGTCTATCAGGTTTGCTTGCTCCAGGTCTGAGTTCAAGCCCTGGATATCCTTGTTGATTTTCTGTCTGGTTGATCTAATATTGACAGTGGAGTGTTAAAGTCTCCCACTATTATTGTGTGGGAGTCTAAGTCTCTTTGTAAGTCATTAAGAACTTGCCTTATGTATCTGGGTGCTCCTGCATTGGGTCCATATATGTTTAGGATCGTTAGCTCTTCTTGTTTTATCGATCCTTTTACCATTATGTAATGGCCTTCTTTGTCTCTTTTGATCTTTGTTGCTTTAAAGTCTATTTTATCAGAGATGAGAATTGCAACTCCTGCTTTTTTTTTTTGCTCTCCATTTGCTTGGTAAATCTTCCTCCATCCCTTTATTTTGAGCCTTTGTGTATCCTTGCATGTGAGATGGGTTTCCTGGATACAGCACACTGATGGGTTTTGGCTTTTTATCCAATTTGCCAGTCTGTGTCTTTTGATTGGTGCATTTAGTCCATTTACATTTAGGGTTAATATTGTTATGTGTGAATTTGATACTGCCATTTTGATGCTAAGTGGCTGTTTTGCCTGTTAGTTGTTGCAGATTCTTCATTATGTTGATGCTCTTTAGCATTTAGTGTGATTTTGGAATGGCTGGTACTGGTTGTTCCTTTCTATGTGTAGTGCCTCTTTTTTTTTTTTTTTTTTAATTTTTTATTGGATTTTAGGTTTTGGGGTACATGAGCAGAGCATGCAAGACAGTTGCATAGGTACACACATGTCAGTGTGCTTTGCTTTTCTTCTCCCCTTCACCCACATTTGGCATTTCTCCCCAGGCTATCCCTCCCCACCTCCCCCTCCCACTGGCCCTCCCCTTTTCCCCCCAATGTGTAGTGCCTCTTTTAGGAGCTCTTGTAAAGCAGGCCTGGTGGTGACAAAATCTCTGAGTACTTGCTTGTTCGCAAAGGATTTTATTTTTCCTTCACTTCTGAAGCTCAGTTTGGCTGGATATGAAATTCTGGGTTGAAAGTTCTTTTCTTTAAGAATGTTGAATATTGGCCCCCACTCTCTTCTGGCTTGTAGTGTTTCTGCCGAGAGATCTGCTGTGAGTCTGATGGGCTTCCCTTTGTGGGTAACTCGACCTTTCTCTCTGGCTGCCCTTAGTATTTTCTCCTTTATTTCAACCTTGTTGAATCTGACGATTATGTGCCTTGGGGTTGCTCTTCTTGCAGAATATCTTTGTGATGCTCTCTGTATTTCCTGCATTTGAGTGTTGGCCTGTCTTGCTAGGTGGGGGAATTTTTCCTGGATGATGTCCTGAAGAGTATTTTCCAGCTTGGATTCATTCTCTTCGTCCCCTTCTGGTACACCTATCAAACGTAGGTTAGGTCTTTTCACATAGTCCCACATTTCTTGGAGACTTTGTTCATTCCTTTTTGCGCTTTTTTCTCTAATCTTGGTTTCTCGTTTAATTTCATTGAGTTGGTCTTCGACTTCAGATATTCTTTCTTCTGCTTGGTCGATTCGGCTATTGAAACTTGTGCATGCTTCGCGAAGTTCTCGTATTGTGTTTTTCAGCTCCTTTAATTCATTCATATTCCTCTCTAAGTTATCCATTCTTGTTATCATTTCCTCATACCTTTTTTTAAGTTCCTTAGTTTCTTTGCATTGATTTAATACATGTTCTTTTAGCTCACAAAAGTTTCTCATTATCCACCTTCTGAAGTCTAATTCCGTCATTTCATCACAGTCATTCTCCGTCCAGCTTTGTTCCCTTGCTGGTGAGGAGTTTTGGTCCTTTCTAGGAGGCGAGGTGTTCTGGTTTCGGGTGTTTTTCTCCTTTTTTCGCTGGTTTCTTCCCATCTTTGTGGGTTTATCCGCTTGTCGTCTGTGTAGTTGCTGACTTTTCGATTGGGTCTCTGAGTGGACACCCAGATTGCTGATAATGAAGTATTTCTGTTACTTGGTTTTCCTTCTACCAGCCTAGCCCCTTTGCTGTACGACTGCTGAGGTCCACTCCAGACCCTGCTTGTCTGGGGTGCACCTCTAGCAGCTGTGGCACAGTGAGGGATGCTACCCGTTTCTTTTTCTGCTATCTTTGTCCCAGGATGATGCCTGCCAAATGTCAGTCTTTTGGATATAGAGGGGTCAGGGAGCTGCTTGAGGAGACAGTCTGTATTTTTTAGGAGCTCAATTGCTGAGCTGTGAGCTCTGTTGTTCCTTCAGGGCTGTTAGGCTGCTATGTTTGATTCTGCTGCAACAGAGCTCATTAAAAAAACCCTTTTTTTCTCAAATGCTCTGTGTCGGGGGGTTCGAGCTTTATTTTTCGATGTCCGTTGAGGTGTCCTGCCCAGCTAGGAGGCAGACTAGCCACTGTTTGCCTGCCAAGTCTCCGCCCTGCTGTTGTGTGATTCGCCCTGTTCCTGCAGGCTCTGCTGTGGTCTCCGCCACGCCCTGCGGCGGAGTCTCTTCGTTGTAGCGTGTTGCCTCGGCAACGGTGGGCTGCGTCAGCAGTGGGCGTGTATCTCAGTAGGGACAGGTTGCCTCGGCAACGGGAGGCTGCGTCAGCAGTGGGCGTGTATCTAAGTAGGGACCCGTTGCCTCGGCAATGGCTGGCTGCGTCAGCAGTGGGCGTGTATCTCAGTTGGGGCGGGTTGCCTCGGTAGTGGTGGACGCCCCTCCCCCACAGAGCGTCTCGGACCGTCTGCTGGGGATAGTTTGAAATCGCAGTTTTGTTCCTCCCACTGGGTACCCCGAACGCTCTGCCCCTGCAATCCCCTGGGCTGGCCTACTGTCCAAGTCTCGTTCAGTCTCAAGTCCAGCCCTCTCAAGTCTCAGGTTGCCGGTTCAACAGGGCACCCGGACAAGCACGCCCTGTGGGGATTGCTGGGTAGGGCCGGCCGCCGCCGCCCTGGCTGCCGGCTTCGCCAGGCAGACTTACTGCCTGGCGTCCCGTGTCTTTTTTATACTTGGGAGTTTCCCCGTTCTGTGGGCAACAAAGATCAGTCTGGAAATGCAACTCTGACTCACCTCTTTGCAGATTCAACGAGAGCTCCAATCCTGGGTTGTTCTCACAGCGCCATCTTGAGTCCTCCTCCGCTCTTGGTTTTTCAACATCATAAACAGCACCGTGAAGGTGGCTTCGTGAAGGTGGCTTTTCCTGAATACTTGAGTCTGTTCTTCATCTCTGATGAGCTGAATGAATGGGCCGGGCGCGGTGGCTCACGCCTGTAATTCCAGCAGTTTGGGAGGCCGAGGCGGGTGGATCACAAGGTCAAGAGATCGAGACCATCCTGGTCAACATGGTGAAACCCCATCTCTACTAATAATACAAAAAAGTAGCTGGGCATGGTGGCATGTGCCTGTAATCCCAGCTACCCAGGAGGCTGAGGCAGGAGAATTGCCTGAACCCAGGAGGCGGAGGTTGTGGTGAGCCAAGATCACGCCATTGCACTCCAGCCTGGGTAACAAGAGCAAAACTCCCCGTCTAAAAAAAAAAAAAAAAAAAGAATGAATGACTAACAGGTGTGACAGCTAAGATTCTGGGTGCCTCTGCACAAAATTACCATCTGGAGAGGTCAGAGACGGCTCCACCCCCAACACAGACAGGGGGACCTTCCAACTTTTCTCCTGTGGTCAGGGCTGCTCAGGAACAGAACTTAACCTGCACCTGGGCTCAGAAAACACCATCAAATCACAAAGACCCCGTCTCTCCAGCCAGGACCCACTTGGTCCCATCTCTTTGAAAGCTGGGCTGGTGGGAAGGAATCCCTGGTGGGCCTGCAGAAAAAGTCTCACTGAGAAGGGGCAGCATCGCTCAGACCTCCAGGCAGCCCCCAGCCCCAGGAGTCCTCTGAGCCACTGTGAAAGCCATTTTGAAAGAGGTTCTGGAAACCCAGCCAGGTGATCCCAGCCCTCCTCCCTTCCTCTCTGCAACTCCCTCCTCTCTACAGTCCCCTCCTCCCCATCTCTGTATCGAGGCCCACCCTCTCCTGCTCCTGGGGGACGGCTGGCCACTGCAGTAATACTTCCTGCCCAGGAGCTTGTGCAGAAATTCATTCCCCCTCTCCACCCACCGCAGACCTGAGCCGTCTGCCGAATCTTCAGAATCTCTGCTGTAGGGACCCAGGTCCTCGGGATCATGGCAGAATTTAATATGTCAATTTTATCTCTCGTACTTAAAGGTAGAGACATACACAGGCCACACAGAGAATAGACGTTTCTTTATACTTTGCTGTTTTACCTACTGTACAAGCAAAATGTATTTGTTAAATTTTTAAAAATACGTTGCATATGCAAAGCGGTTTTCCAAATGATTTCACAAAGCTGTTCAACGTGAACTCCTCACGGCCTTAGGAGGAGAGTGGGTCAGATGTTCCTTGCATTTAATAGGAAAACAGTGACCCAGAAAACCTTTGGCACCCTGACACCCCCGAGTTCAGGGACAGCCCAGAAGCCAAAGCTCCTGGTTCCCAATCTCTTTTTCTCCCTACCAGACTCTTGGGGCCCCTGAGAACATGGGATTGGCCCATGAGACACGTTCTATGGAGTCATCTTGGAAAAAAACGATGATAAAATCAAGTGACGATTTGTTTTGTTCTGCAGGAAGCGCGGCAAGACCTGCAGTGACATCATGTCTGTTGACGCCCAAGCCCTGAAGAAGAAGATGGGCAAGATGGCCTGCGACCCGGCCGCCCGCGCCATCCTCAGCAGCCTGCTGCTCTACGTCGCGGGCCGCGCGGACCGGCCCCCGGGGACAGAGGCCGGGGAGAGCAGGGCCGGCCGCCAGCCCCAGCCCCAGCCCCAGCCCCAGGAGGCCGCCCAGCGGCCCACGCGCTTCCAGCTCCTGCAGGCCAAGTTCCTGGGCCCTGGCCGGGAGCGCTGCCTCAAGAGGACCCGGGAGGTGGGCCGGCTGATCTCCAGGGACAAGCAGGGGCCGGGCAGGGGCCTCGTGGGCGCCACCATCAACAAGCTCCTGGAGAAGACCAGGGAGCCTACGCCAAAGCCCTGCCCCAGCGAGAAGCCCCGCTGGGGCCACCCGGCCGGGAAGAGCCCTGTGAAAAACATCCTCAAGAAGTTCCTGGCCGCCGAAGAGAAGGAGGCGAAGGAGAAAGAAGCGCGAGAGAAGCCCCCAGCGGAGCGGCCCAGAGCGCAGGGCCTCCTGCCGAAGATCATGGGCAAGAGCTCGGTGCTGGCCAAGCTCCGCGAGAAGTTCGAGCAGAGCAGCTGCCTGTGCTCCGAGGCCGGCGCACTGCGGCTGCGCACAGAGGAGCGGAAGAGGCGGAACCTGCAGCGGAAGAGGATGCACCGGCCGGAAGTGCGCGTGCTGCACACGGCCGCCATGGCCAGCACCTGCGTCAGGACGCCCCCCGCCCGCTTCCTGGCCTGCACAGCCGATCCCCTGCCGGCCCTCAGCGTCGCCACCGTCGTCTGCGGCCCCAGGAGCTGGCTGTCCCATTGCACCAAAATCAGCCACTCGGTGGCAAGGCGGCAGCCCAGAGCAGAAACCAGCATGCCCCCCAGTGCCGGGGAAACGGGGCGCAGTGGGAACAAAGCAGAGGGAAAGGGGCCCCTGGAGGAGGAGCCCCAAAGACTGCCTAGCTCCTTGAAGCCCGGGACGCCACAAGTGATGGCTCGGAGGGATGGCCATGCTGGCCCCTCACTGGCCCCCTCTTGGGCTCCCTACACAGGCGAAGCCCATCCTGGCTTGGTGCCTGCATCATCCTCACTGGGACCCGCCAGCCCGTGGGGCCCCACGGCAAAGAGCGCTGCAGACGACGTGCAGGAAGTGAGGGGAGCCACAGTCATGTGGTGTCCTGGTCCCATGGGCGAGGGTGCAGGGGAGGGCCCTGAAATCACCATGACTGTATGCAGCTCAGAAGATGAAACGGAAGGAACAGGCTTCCCAGACCCAGGGAGAGACCCCCTTTTTGCCATCCAGAAGTGTTTCCCAGAACAGAAGGTGCCAGAACACATCCCACCCCTGAACACGCCATCGGTCAGGGCTGCTGGGACAACACAGCCCAGCACGGAGCCTCCACGGATAACAGTCCAAATCCCAGTCGTCCACGAAATGCCAGCCTCTCCCACCACGCTGCAAAATGCATCAAGTGGTGAAAACCAACGTTCTCGTATTTTTGGAGGAGAGAATGTGGCTGAAAAGGCACAGACAGAGTTTTCCACCGTGGCTGAGAACAGAAGGGATAACCGAGCCCCAGTGGAACCCAGCAAGCCTTCAGGGACACAGGTGAGACTTGGCGCCTCCTCACCACAGGGATCGCGAGCAACTCTGCATCCGGCGGCAGCGAGAGGGGCTTCAGGCGCCAACCACCGTGTCCCAGAGACGGCTCCAACACAGAGAACTGAGACGGATCCTGCTGGCGGGAAGGGAATTCTCAAAGGCAGCTTTGACAGTTCACGCAGTCCCAGGAGTCCTGAGGATATTTCAGGAGAGAGGACCTCTGACCTCAGAGATGAGATGCATCTGTTACAAGAATCAAATGAAATATCTATGCAGAACAAGGGCTCAGCAGCAAATTCTCCTGCAGCCGAGAAAAACCCTCTGAGGGGAAACACGGGCTATGCCTCCGGCGGCCAGCAAGTGCCATCCCCGACGGGAAGAAATCCAACAGGTGCCCCCACGTTGCTGGCAACACCATCCAAGGAGCATATAGGGCCTGGGGGTGTCACCTCAACGGGCACGAACATGCCCAGCTTGAGGGAGGAGCATAGAAGGCCGCGGCTAACAGAGTCCGCCCAGACCCTGAAGGCAGCCAAGGAAATCAGCCATGATTTTGGAGAGAACCCACTGTCCTCATTAAATGAACCACCCAAACCTGGTATCAAGGCCTGTGGGGAGATGGCAGCTGCAGGGAGTGCTGTGAGCCTTGCCACACCAACACCCGCACCAGGTGGCACCCAGAGCCCTGGAGACTGCATAGTGGGAGAGCCGGAGATGCTGGGCCAGGAGGAATACAGAGCCTTGTCTGAAAGCCATTCCAGAGGAGAGGCTCTCCCTCCAGACCCCCACAGCTGTGGCTTCCTGGCCCCCTGGGGGTCCTCAGAGCCCAAGAGTAGAGTGGCAGGCAGGAGCCTCCTGAGAGGCACGGCCCTCACCCGGCACCCAGCGGAAGCTGCAGCCCTCAACCGGCACCCAGAGGACACTGCAGCCCTCGCCCGGCACCCAGAGGGCTCTGCAGCCCTCGCCCGGCACCCAGAGGACACTGCAGCCCTCGCCCGGCACCCAGAGGACACTGCAGCCCTCGCCCGGCACCCAGAGGACACTGCAGCCCTCGCCCGGCACCCAGAGGACACTGCAGCCCTCGCCCGGCACCCAGAGGACGCTGCAGCCCTCAACCGGCACCCAGAGGACGCTGCAGCCCTCAACCGGCACCCAGAGGACTCTGCAGCCCTCACCCGGCACCCAGAGGCGCCCCGATTACACATTTCAAATGCATCAGCAGCCATGGGAGACAAAAAGGATGTACCTGTGGAAGAAAACCTTCTGGGTAAAGGCACAAAGTCTGGAACTCCTGCTTCCAATCATCCCAGAACACAGGCCAGGAGTGTGGCAGGGTCCTCCAGCCATGGCCCTGGTGGCCTGCCATTGCCTTCTGAGAACCCACAGGGAAAGGACAGGGAGGGCATCAACTCTCCTCGTTGGGCAGAGCCTGACCATCTGCTTCCTGTGGTGCCTTCTGCAGAGGTGGACATGGGGTGGATGGGTGGTGCCCACCAGCGGGACCCTCCCCATGTACAGGCACACCTGCCCCTGACTGCTGGTGACACACAGGCAAAGCTCTGGGCCAGTGTTTCCGAGCCCAGGACCCAGGCAGGTGAAGCCCAGAAGTGTCCCCTGACCCAGAGTGGTGAATCTCAGAAGCGTCCCCCGACCCAGGCAGACATGATGAGGCAACAGAGTCACCAGGTGCAGGAGGAGGCCCCCGAGCCCAGTGATGCAGGGAAGAGGGTGGCGCCCCTGGGCCTGAAGGTTGTGCTGACTACAGCAAAAGAGCCTCGGACACAGTGGGCGCAGGATCTGGGTGGGGACAAAGGGACGGCCATTGGGGTTAGGGGTGCCTGCCAGCGCAGTGATCTAGGTCAGCAGCGTCCACAGGGACCCTGGGAGGAGCAGGGGAGGAGAGCAGTGCAGGGAGAGGGCACCAGGGCTGCCGAGAACCCAGCAGCACCTCCAGGGGACCCCAAGGGGCTGGGAAGCCTGGTGGCCCAGGGGCAGGCTCAGGAAAAGGCCCAGGGACAGCCCCAGTGGCAGATCCAGAGAGAGGTCCCGGGACAGGCCCAGAGGCAGATCCAGAGAGAGGCCCCAGGACAGCCCCAGAGGCAGATCCAGAGAGAGGCCCCGGGACAGGCCCAGAGGCAGATCCAGAGAGAGGCCCCGGGACAGCCCCAGAGGCAGATCCAGAGAGAGGCCCCGGGACAGCCCCAGAGGCAGATCCAGAGAGAGGCCCCGGGACAGGCCCAGAGGCAGATCCAGAGAGAGGCCCCGGGACAGCCCCAGAGGCAGATCCAGAGAGAGGCCCCGGGACAGGCCCAGAAGCAGATCCAGAGAGAGGCCCCGGGACAGCCCCAGAGGCAGATCCAGAGAGAGGCCCCGGGACAGCCCCAGAGGCAGATCCAGAGAGAGGCCCCGGGACAGCCCCAGAGGCAGATCCAGAGAGAGGCCCCGGGACAGGCCCAGAGGCAGATCCACAGAGAGGCCCCAGGACAGGCCCAGAGGCAGATCCACAGAGAGGCCCCAGGACAGCCCCAGAGGCAGATTCAGAAAGAGGCCCCAGGACAGGCCGAGAGGCAGATCCAGAGAGAGGTCCAGGGACAGGCCTTGGCCTGTGGGACAGTGCCTCGGGCCTTGGAGCAGCCCATTAGTGGTACAGCTGAGCTAGTGGCCACTGCTGGCAGGAGTGGAGGGTCTGGAAGCCCAGTCCCCAGGGACAATGGACAGTGGAGGGGCAGTGGACTAGGGGAGCCTAGTGCCCAGCACCCATCCTCAGGAAGCTGCCCCCTCGGGGGCAAGAGCATTGCCACTTCTCCCCTGGGCTTGAGAAAGAGCCCGGCTGAGCCCATGCCTGATGCTGGGAGCTGGGGGACTCCCCAGGCCCCAACCCAGGAGGGGCCCCCAGACCACCCCAGGGCCAAGGGGGACCTGCAGGACGCGATGGAGGCATCAGAGCCTGAACGTCTCAAGAGATCCACGCGCCTGGCCAAGTACAAAGCCCAGAGCTTCAGTGACCAGAGGGCCTTCGATTTGTCCTTCAGACCCATGAGCCTCAGGGCCAGTGACACCTTTGAGCTCCCCAAGTGAGGCCCGAGTCCAAGCCGAGGCTCGCCCAGTACTGCGGCATCCGCTCATCGGGGCCTTCAGGCGTCTCCAAATTTGTTCTGGAGCGTCCCCTACAGAGACGCCTGTTTCCATCATTTTCTTACCCTTCTTCGCAAGCTGACCTTGGGAGGACTGAGTTGTGTCACCCCACCGATTCCCAAGGCCGCTGGGGTGAGAGAGGGGACCCTGCCCTCCTAGCAGGCGCCCAGCGGCACCACAGCAAGATCTCTGTGGCCAAGTGCACGCCACACTCAGCTCTGCCCCCACCTGTACCCCCAGTGCATCCTGTGTGCAGCTGGCTGCCCGGTTCCCACACGTGGGAGGTGCACCCAGCACTTAGGAGTCTCTACACACAGCAAGGAGCACTGAAAACCCACACACCAAGCAGAAGGCCCTCCAAGTGGGCCAGGAGCACGGCCCTCCACTTTATAGAGGAGGCCTGGGTGCTCTCTGAGGAGAGCTGTGGCAACCAGCCCTCCTTCCAGACACGAGGGTCCCCTCTCTCACTGAGGAAGCAGGCCTCGGGGGTCCGGGGGTCCCGGGGGTCCCTGCCCCTGCTGTCCCGGGAGCTGCAGCCGGGGCTGGGGTTGGCCTTTCGGAGACACCCAACTGCAGAGGCTGACAGAGCGGCCTCTTTGTCCTGTTGGTAGCCCCCATGCAGGACGGGGTGGGGGGTCATTCTCCCTGGGGCTGGGGGAGCTCAGGGACCCCCACGTCTGTGTGGCTGCCCTCCCACTCCAGGCACAGCGGCACGGCCCTCACTCTTTACCTATTTGGGGTTTGAGGCAACAAGCGGCAAGAATGTGATGACAGACACGGGAGATTAAACTATGTTCACTGGCTGTTCCCTTTAAAAATAAGAAGCAATGGAACCTGTGTTGCTATTTTTAAATAGACCAGAGAGTGCTCTGGAGAAGCCACTGAGTGGTTTTATTTTAAGTGATGGAAAAAATGGCGAGAATATCCTCCAGATGACAGCTCTGGAAGCGTCACGCCTGAACCCCTCTCGCCGTCTGGCGGGCACAGAGTCTGTGAGCAGCCAGGAGGCCACCTGCTCGGCTGGCCCGTCCTCTCTGTGTGTCAAATGCAGCCCAGCGTGACGCTGCCCTCAGCTCAAAACACCAGAGCTGGTCTGTATGCAGGAAAAAACCGCAAGTGACTTCATGGGATTTGGAGCGGTCCGTACGTTCACGCGAAACTGAGACAGTGACATCCGAAGGTGGCTCGCTGAAGTGTTCGCACTGCAGACGCGACCGCCATTCCTCGAAGGCCCACCCCTCCCGGGCTGAAATACTGTATCAGAAGAGCCGTGCCCTAACCACCCCCACGGGCATGTCCTCGAAGGCCCACCCCTCCCGGGCTGAAATACTGTATCAGAAGAGCCTAACCACCCCCACGGGCATGTTACAGAAAACCTGGAGGTGTTTTTTAAAAAAGGAAAGAAAACAGGATATTTATTTTAGCTTCTTAGCGTCACTAGTTCTGTGTATTTGAGCAGCTTGTCTGCTGCCTCCCCCAGCAGTTTTTGACGGTTTCTGGGTGCTGACAGGCCCGCTGTGAGCCGCACATCTGTGGGTGCAGGTGACAGCAGCCAGGCGGTGGCGCACCCTCCGGCCGAGTGAAGGTCCCCAGACAGCTGTGAGAGTGTGGCCATGTTCGGGAGGCTCAGTCGGGGAGGGTCACTGTCGAGGACTTTACAGGCTCAGTGTCACTTACTTATTTCATTGTTAGGGCACCTCTGCTGCCTGAGTCACGACCTCTCAGTTATGTGTTAAGCTACAGCTACTTGTAGCTGTATTTTCCTTGTCATATTCTTTGTATATAAACAACTCTAAAATGGGTTAGTCAGAAAAAAATCACTAAATGTCATTTGTTGTATTCTCTGTATTTTTACTAACATTTTACTGGAAATAATTTCAAAAAAAGGAAATAAAATACCTTTCCCATTACAAATCTCTTCCTGGCATCGTTGAAGCTACTGCATGAAGGAGGCAGGACTCAGGCCTGGGGCCAGAGGCAGGCTCCCCGGGTGGACGTGGCCAGCCTGGGGCAGTGGTCCTGGCAGGAGGGAGGGTCTGGCCAGGGGCCCAAGTGGGAGGAGAGCCGCTTAGGGTGTCCTTGGAGAAATAAGGCCATGTGCTCCCCAGACCCTCCCTCAGTCCAGTCAAGACTGTGCCTGCCTCGGAGCAAGGCCTGGGGAGCTGGACTTCAGCCACTGCACCTGGGCCTCGGGTGGCTGGGCGGCCAGAGGGCTGGGACACCGCAGCAGACAACAGAAAGGAAGGAATATGGTAACAGGGCCAGCCGGGCAGTGGGACACCCTCTTCCCGCCAGCAACTCTGCAACTCTGTGTGCAGGGGAACTTTGTGAGTGACTTTTCATGACGATTTAACAGCGATTGGTTTAAGCTCATGCCAGACCCAGCCGGGAATGCCGGTATCCGAGCCACCCCTGTGTCGTGGGTGGGCGTGGGGTCTTGGCATCTGGGGAGGAGGAAAGCTTGTTCCCCTGAATCAAGCTGACACCTCGAGTCTGAGAGCACTGGAAGGCACCCAAGGCTTTGGGATGGTGCAGGCACATCCTGTCCTGAAGGAAAACCCCTGTCAATTAGGCCGTGACACAGGCTTTTGTCAGAACTTTTATTTTAAAAGTGCTTATTGAAGGCGTCTGTGAGACTGGTGTACATAGAAGTCTCATCAAACCTCGGTCTTGGGATATTGTTATAAGCTTGGCGTAGACAAAGGTTCCCCTAAACAGGAGAAAAAGCCCCAGCCACAGAAGGGAGCGTGCATACATTTGCATACATTTGCATATGTTTATCTGTTTGAGGTTCCGGTTAGGGTTAGGGTTAGATTTCTGACAGGAATGGATGTCACGTAGCCCCAGCGCCCAGGACTGAGCCCAGGACTGAGTCGCTGAGCGGTGCTTACCATTTCTCTGACCACAGAGGACTGATCTGCTCATGTCCACAACCCCACGTGGTGCCTGGGAAGCCATGGAAGGCACAGCAGCCGGTTAGAAAATCCATTTGTGCAAACCCCAAACCCATGAATGTGCTGAGGCATCTTCTGGAAGAACAAAGAAGGCCAAGGAGGAGTGAAGGAAATCGTGTACACGAAAGGCACCTTGTCCTTCGATCGGCTTAGGTCAGCAAACTACAGAGGAAACAGGGTGACTAGGCCCCTGCCTGGATCACCCATGCCTGCTTGTCGGCCTCCCCCTTCCCCCTCCTCCCCCCACCCTTAGGTGCCCTCACCCCAGCTAAAGAAGTTTGGTTGGGCAGGGCACAGTGGCTCATGCCTGTAATCCCAGCACTTTGGGAGGCCGAGGCGGGTGGATCACGAGGTCAAGAGATCGAGACCATCCTGGTCAACATGGTGAAACCCCGTCTCTACTAAAAACACAAAAAATTAGCTGGGCATGGTGGCACGTGCCTGTAGTCCCAGTTACTCAGGAGGCTGAGGCAGGAGAATTTCCTGAACCCAGGAGGCGGAGGTTGCAGTGAGCTGAGATCACGCCATTTACTCCGGCCTGGGCAACAAGAGCGAAACTCTGTCTAAAGAAAAAAAGAAGAAGTTTGGTCTAAGATGAAAGTTTACTACCCTGCAAAACAGCTGGCTTGTCTGTTCTTATCAGCCTGTGCAGCTACTCAGGTCATAAGTCAAATGCTTGAAGAGCTCCTGAGCTGGCTGGGATTGCAATACGTTCTGGGCTTCGACAAAACGCAGCAGGACAACCCCAAAGAAAACAGCAGAAGCCCCTACCCAACAACCAACAGGCGACGTCTGGGGAGAGGGTGACCCCACGGTAGCCAGCCAGTGAGGAGCCGGGGGAGGGGCCTGTGCACCAGGGGATAAATTACTTGTTGAAACCACGCTGGGTGTGCCCGCTCATCAGACACCCCATCGCGCAAGACCGTCATTCAAAGTCTCACTTTCACTGTTCTCAGGGGCTCTGAGTCCATTCTTTGGGTTTGAACAGATGAGTTTATTTCTGACAGAAGGATCACTTGAGGCCAGGAGTTCGAGACCAGCCTGAGGAACAGAGTGAGACCCCATCTCTATTTACAAATGAAAATAAAATAAAAAACAACAGAACAAAAGACCACAGGTCATGTTGTATTGACGTGTGGAGAAAGAGCTGCTGAATTCCCTGGACGGCCGTTTCTTGCGGTCTGTACCACTAAAAGTCATGTCTGAACCCCAAACTGGAAGAAGGCGTCAACCCACCAGCGAATCTGCACCGAGGGAGGAATTTTCCAAATATTTCAGAAATAACACGCAAAAAAGTACAGGTTTCCATTGCTCAATCAATAATGATGATAATAAAATCATCAAGAAGCCTGGTACGGTGGCCATACCTGTTCTCAGCTACTCAGGCCCGGTGCGGTGGCCCTACCTGTTCCCAGCTACTCAGGCCCAGTGCGGTGGCCGTACCTGTTCCCAGCTACTCAGGCCCAGTGTGGTGGCCGTACCTGTGTTCCCAGCTACTCAGGCCCGGTGCGGTGACGGTACCTGTTCCCAGCTACTCAGGCCCGGTGTGGTGGCCATACCTGTGTTCCCAGCTACTCAGGCCCAGTGTGGTGGCCGTACCTGTGTTCCCAGCTACTCAGGCCCGGTGCGGTGACGGTACCTGTTCCCAGCTACTCAGGCCCAGTGCGGTGGCCGTACCTGTTCCCAGCTACTCAGGCCCGGTGCGGTGGCCGTACCTGTTCCCAGCTACTCAGGCCCGGTGCGGTGACGGTACCTGTTCCCAGCTACTCAGGCCCGGTGTGGTGGCCGTACCTGTGTTCCCAGCTACTCAGGCCCAGTGTGGTGGCCGTACCTGTGTTCCCAGCTACTCAGGCCCGGTGTGGTGGCCGTACCTGTGTTCCCAGCTACTCAGGCCCAGTGTGGTGGCCGTACCTGTTCCCAGCTACTCAGGCCCAGTGCGGTGGCCGTACCTGTTCCCAGCTACTCAGGCCCGGTGCGGTGGCCGTACCTGTTCCCAGCTACTCAGGCCCGGTGTGGTGGCCGTACCTGTGTTCCCAGCTACTCAGGGGGCTGAAGTTGGGGGCATCACTTAAACCCAGGAGTTTGAGGCCAGCCTAGAAACATAGCAGGAGCTTGCATCCTTAAAAAAATAAATAAAATTTTTTAAAATAAAATAAACTGATGAAATTCTTGGACTTTGATGGCAGGAAGCCACACGCGTGGAGCACGAGCGGTCTAGAAAGAGCTGTCAGGACACTCAGAACTGTGGCTTCTGTGAGTTCTGCATAGTTAGGACAGGAGCTTGGCCTCATCTCAGGTTCCAAAGGGCTCAGACATGTCAATAAGACACCACCCCAAAGTGTGAATATTGTTCTATGTTTCAACAGCTCCCCAAAATGCGAATCCTGCCCTCTCTCTGCACAGAAGTCCCATATCCCACACCCCAGCCTTCCTCACTGCTGGGGTGCACATGGGTCTGCCAGGGAGATGCAACTGCCCAGGGCAGCAAGCACGGCAGGTTCCGGGCCCATGGCGAGGATGAGCTGGTGATGTGGGGTCTCCTGTGCGTGCTGAGTAAGAGTTTTCCAGGAAAGCTGACAGAAGCAAGCTCATTTAGCCGGTGCGGGAAGGCCTTTCCTCTAGTCTTGCAGGGAGCTGGGAGTTGTCCACACCACTCACCATGTCCGTTTCTGCTCAAATTCCCCGGGATAGACTCTGCCTCCTGCACCCAAGAACACACCAGGGCATCCCCATCAAAACCCCATGGCAGGAATGCTGTATCGGATCACATCCTAGAGCACATGGGGCGTCCCCACCCAAACCCACAGCAGATGTGCTGTATCAGGTCACGTCTAGAGCACGTCCTCATCAAAACCCACAGCAGGCGTACTGTTTCGGACCACTTACTGCATGTGTGGTGGTCAAAGACATGAAATTGAACACTCTGATGGGTCTGTTAAATTGACAACCAAAGCCCTCAATGTTTTAAATTACACTTTAAGTTCTGGGGTACACGTGCAGAACGCACAGGTTTGTCACGTAGGTATACACGTGCCATGACGGTTTCTTCATCCATCTCCCTGTCGTCTACATTAGGCATTTCTCCTGTTATCCCTCCCCTGGCCCTCCACGCCCCAACAGTCCTTGGTGTATGGGGGTCCCCTCCCTCTGTCCATGTGTTCTCGTTGTTCAACTCCCACTTATGAGTGAGAACATGCGGTGTTTACAAAACCCCCAATTTTAATTTAATTTTATTTTTTTATTTTGGAGTATCATTGACTGATAAACCCCCAGTTTTTAAAAGGAATCAGTAACACTCACTACCTCTGAGGATGTGCTGAGACAGCCATTCCTCATGGGACCAAACGTTGCTCTTTCTTTTTATAAAGCAATTTGGCAATAATGTCAAGAACCCTTAGAAGGTGTGTTTCCACAGCCCAGCAATTCCAGCTTTGAGAAACCATATTTAGGAAAAGCAATCTATTTAATGTAGTACTACTCAAGATACAGCCATAAATAACACAAATGTCCACCAGTAAGAGATTAGTTAAATAAAGCATGGTGTCTTATTCAGTGAAATAGGCAGTCATTTAAAGTTAGCTTAGGAAGAACTTTGTGAAATGGAAAATATCGTAACCATTTAATGTTTAAAATCCAATATAAGGCCGGGCGTGGTGGCTCACACCTGTAATGCTAGCACTTTGGGAGGCTGAGGCAGGTGGATCACCTGAGATCAGGAGTTCGAGACCAGCCTGGCCAACATGGTGAAACCCCGTCTCTGCTAAAAATACAAAAATTAGCTGGGCGTGGTGCTCCGCGTCTGTAGTCCCAGCTACTCAGGAGGCTGCGGCAGGAGAACCGCTTGAATGCGGGGGGCGGGGGTTGCAGGGAGCCGAGATGGCGCCATTGCACTCCAGCCTGGGTGACAAGAGTGAAACTCCATCTCAAAAATAAAAAAACGGTTCCGTATAAAATAGTAGA